ATTTTTTCATAAATTTTGGCCTGGTTCCGCTAAGGTGCACTTTTACCGAATTTTGATAACCCTTTCCGTGGATTGATAGAAAAGAGGCTATCTTGACGGATCAAAATAAAAATTTTGCATTTCTTGTGGTAAATACTGCTACGTTCATGACAAAAACCAGTGTTGCCAACTTTTGCGTTTCAAAAAACACCAAAACTTGGGAAAAAAGCGGTTTACCAAATGAAAAGCACTAATTTTTTTTTAATCAAAGGATAATTTTTTTCATAACAGTTTGTATTTAACAAAAGTAAAAAACAAACGAACACATGCTATGATGACTCATGCTTACAAAGTAGTAATACGGAAGTACTGCACATTAAAACTGGTATATCTCGAGAAAGAAAAATCGAATCGCAACAAACGAAAATGAATTTTAAAGGGAAGCAGTAATACTAAATGATGCCCTAAGTAGAAATGAGCAAAACAAATTTTTGTTTTCATAATGTAACCTCATATATCTCCAAAACCGTGTTTTTGGCACTCTCAGGTCAGGATATCTCAAAATTCTGACGTGCTAGAGCGATTCTGTGGCCAGATTTGGATTCAGCACCAAAAAATCTACAAGGAACGATGTTTTTTACTCAGGTGCTAAAAATATTAAAAATTTGTCGAACTGTGTAACCAATCAAAATATATATGTACAAATAATTATAATAAAAAAATTTAATAATTGAATAGTTATAATTATAATTAGAAAAGAAAAAATAAATACTTAACTTATTTACCTGCGAACTAGCATTTTCAACGCGAACAAGAACGTGGGTTTGCAACATCAGCTCTTCATCAATCACGGTTACATTTTAGTGCATTTAAATTTGTAAATTAAGTGCTGCCACTGCTTTAAATATTTTAAATTATTTCATTTCATCCTCAATTTAACTATCTATGAGAAATTTGAGTTCAGAAAAAAAGCACTAAAAAAGGCACTAGGCACTAAACCATTTTTTTAGCGTTCTAATTTTCAAAAAGCACTAAATCTAGTGCTTAAAGCACCAAGTTGGCAACTATGATAAAAACATTAGAAGGTAAAATTATTGAGAGGCAGTCTGACGTTTGCCAACAATATAAATTTAAAATCAAAACTCAAACTCACACACACATTCTCATCTTCAATCTCAAACAGCAACAATTGTGAATAATTTCATTTTTTTTGTTTTCAATTTTATATGATTTTAAAATGCTGGCAAACGTCAGAAAAAATTCGTGGCCGACGAATTGAGAGAATGATTTTACCTTCTAATGTGGTAATGGTTACGATCATGATACAAATATTTAAAGGTAGTTTCACGTAAACTGTGCTTTTGACATTTTCTTTTAAATTGAAGCTACCATATTCTTTGAAGAAATTAAAAAGTAGTTTTTTACTTAAAAAAAACATTTCGAAAATTATTTGAAAAAATATATTTTGAGCATCATTTTTAAGCGAGCTTTTATTGATTTATTTCTAAAATGAAATATAAAACTGAAGGCAATTAAAACACTCGTATTACATTGTGTAATGCTTATAGAGAATCCATTTGTTTATGCAATTATTTTCATCATTATTTAGTTCGCTTCATAAGACGTAGCTGTGGCCTAACCGATGGCTATTTGTCTTAGAAACGCACAGTTGAGTAGTTCCGCTCAGCTTAAAACTTGGCAGCTTTCCGCCATTTTTCCAGCGGACAATTTTTACTGAACTAAACGTGTTGGGCTTAGCTTAACAGCTGGTCGAAAAGACTTACGCCGCTGATATAAAATTTAACGCCGCTTTGTTAGATGGCAGTTGCAAACAAATTTATTCTAATATATTTACTGATGTGATAAAGACCGTGTGTGAATCGGTAACAAAGTTCGCGGAGAGTAAATTTTTGACAACTACAGTGACGAGCAAAACTGTAACATGATGTAACACTTTTTATTTCAGCCACCGCTATCTTTCATAGTTCTTACGGCTTTCATACTTTTGTTGTATATTCTTATTGGTACACCCCTACTCCCGCTCTCATAACGATTTGAGGTCAATCCAACAACAATAAAAACACCAGCAGACAAAAATGTAAATTAAGGCAAATGTTACAGTTTTGCACTTACTCTCAGTTTTGCATTTTACAGTTATCTTTTGCTTAGTTGGAAGTCAGATGACTTTTTTCTGTATTGTAATTTATTCAAGAAGTGATCACCAATAAATAATATGGAGAATCAGGAAACATAAATATAAATAATAGATTTACTGCGAAAAGGCGGGACCGCAGGGAAAATGGCAAAAAATTGTGGAGTTTGCCACATGAAAATGTTAGGACTGAGAAAAAATATAGCCCGAAGTGTTACTAAGGGCAAAGGAAGTCTGTCAAAATATATTACAGTCCGATATCTTGTGAACTTAGTAGCAAGTAGCGCTGCAGGCACTACTACAGAAGCGCTTAAGGTATTAAAATTGAATGCAAATCAGTAGATAGTGAGGCGAAAAATTGCCAAGTTGAGCAAAATGGATCATAAAAGAAGAAAAAAGCAAATTTGATCAAAATACATGTGCGAGTGTGGCAGCGTTTTGCTGCATCGCACGAAAGCCGGACCGTTGCCTATTGGGATATGTTAGGCCTTACAGAATGCAATAAAAAACACATTTTTAAGATTTAATTGAGGGTTATTTGGTTTGACAAGACTAAATTAATCGCTTTCAATCAGATGGCCGGGCATAGTATTGGATCAAAGGCCCAAATTAAGCCTAAGCGCATCATGTAAGGCAAACTGTGAATCACGGTGGTCGGTCAATATTAGTTTGAGGTTGTATTTCAAAAATGTTGTTGATCCGTTTGTACGCATTATGCTTAAGGAACAGTATCTGTTCATATTTCAACAAAATTTGCAAGATGTAGTCGAAAAAATTAGAGTTTCTGCTGAAAAATCAACCAAAACACACTGCACATGTTCGCAAAGACTGGAACAAAAGCAGAAATTTGCTAATTTGAAATGACCTCCACAATGCGAGGACATGAATCTCATCGAGAATTTGCGAAATCAACTAAAAGCGCATCTTACTAAGTATCCAAGTCCGTCCAATGGAGTACATGAGCGGTGAAAGCACACCAAGGATATATGGGAGGCTTTACCTCCAGAATTTTTACAGACATACACATTAGGTATGCCAAATTGCAACCAGGAACTAAATAAAGCAAAAGCATACTGAACATTGTGTTAATAATTCTTTTTTTTGTGAAAATTGTCAAAAAGTTATTAAAAATACATGAGTGCAAAACTGTAACATATGCCTTAATTTACATTTTTGTCTGCTGGTTTTTTTAATGTTGTTGAATTGACTTCAAATCGTTATGACAGAGGAAGCAAAGATGTACCAATAAAAATACAGAACAACAGTATGAATGTCGTTAGAACTTGGAAAGATAGCGACAGCTGAAATAAAAAGTGTTACTCCATGTTACAGTTTTGCTCGTCACTGTATGAGGTGAATAAAATTTCAGTAGCCCATGAGACTAGTGAAATTTTTGACAAATGAATAGAAAATTTGGACAATCGCAAAGATTGTTGATGTGCGTAATTTTTTGTTAAATAAAAGCTTAAATTGATGAATTACAATCAACGATAGTAGATGTTTTTTTAAAATATTACTTCACCTCATTTTGTAATATTTTATTCCGCATAAATCTGCGGTTATCAAAAATTTACTGCTGTCAAAAAATATTTCATTTCACACATCAGATTTGCAAAACTGTCTCACCATAGTAAAAATATTATTCAACAGCTTTCCCATAGAACTTTGTTACCGATCCACACACGCCCAAAGTAGCTAAAATATTTCATAATAATACTACGTTTCTAAATATATGTTTTTTACGATGTTTGCTATATAATTATACACTGTTTAATTCGTTATAACATTGAACGATTTTTTTAACATGATGGAAGCTCAGCGTAGAATTCTAAATACTATCGGCGCAACTATCTTTATTTATTGCAATTTCGTTTGTATACATTTATCAGCTGATCATTTGGCAGCATATTCATCAAGCCGTTTCTAAGACGTAATTGTTGGGTTCAACAGTTGCCAGCAGTTTCGTAGCAGATGAGCTAACCAGCTACTTCTTATGAACGCGCCCATTGCCTGGCTTACAGTCATCAAAATATTCATGGCATGCCCTGCGCTGAGCATGACTACTTTAGATGAATACCCCTTTTGTGGTCTTCCGAAGATAAAAGGTCCATTCCTCATCTTCTCGGACTAAAATCTTGAAAGTGTCAAAATGCAAGAGCGTAAGCAAAATATGCTCACTAAAAGAGAATAATAGGAAAAATTAAAGGAACGCGAAAAACCAAATTTTTAGTCCAAAGAATGGCAACAACAAAACTAACGTCAAATAAGAATAGAAATGTATGCACAAAACACATTCACACAACCACAAGCACAATAAGCACTTACTATATCATTAATTTTATGCCGCCTTCCATTTTAAATACACTTTTTTTAGTTTTTAGATTATTCTCACTTTTCGTGTATTCTTTAATTTCCGTTAATTGAAATTCAGTTGAGTTTGACACTTTTCAGTATTTTGTCAGCAAAAATTCTTCTGACTAAATCTGACTACTTCGGACTGAATAGAGTCACTCTCATTAAGTGTTGTTCTCTCATTTTTGCTGTAATTTTCGAGTTAAGGAACGCTTTTTGGACTAAATCTGACTACTTCGGACTTTTTTGACTATTTCTGGGAGATAAGGAATGCTCCTAAACTATCGCTACCCTGCAAGCCACAGCTAACCAGTTGCCCCTGAAATTCAACAGATTTACACACACACTCTCAACTTTTTAGCTACGCTACCCACACATTTACAAATTTATTTTTCCGACTGTCAAAACAAAATTCTGAGTGAGAGCACCGGACCTAATAAAAATTTTTACTGTAATAAGAATTTTATGCGTTAGAGCGAGTAAGTGGATATGAAGCAAAATTTGACAGCTATGATCACAGAGGCTGTGACTTTAGCAAAAGTTTGACATCTTTGATCACAGTAGGCTGTAAATAAAAGCGTTAATTTTGCAAAAACATTTGAAGGTAAGAGAACGTTTTAACAATTTGCATTGTTTATAATGGAATTTTTTTCTTTTAGATTGCCGAAACACTGCGATTTAATCATATAATTAAGGTATGTATTAGAATTATTCACATATTTGTATATTTTAATTGATAATTTTGCATTTACAGATTTGCGATTTTTCATTCTAAATTTATCTTCGACCCTGCTACCACGGAATATCAACGCCACCTCCAGTCAGGCACCACACCAGCATATCCACCACCTTCAACGCCGCCACCAATAAACAGCGCTGCATACATTATTCGGTAAGTTTTCATGCGACGAATAAACGTTGCTTCTGCTGCAACTGCCTACATTAATCATGTTCCTGGTGCTTCCCGATTTGCACATTTCACAAGAAAAGCTGTTTTTGCAATTAATAAACCTTATGGCGTACAGAAACAGCTTCCTCTAAAAACCTGCGAAGCGTGAAGTACCTGGAACAGGCTTATTTAGTGCGTTCCAGAACGTCTACGATTTGCAGGTTTTGCAGGATTTAGTCCAAAGTCGTTCCCGTACGCCACGTTCACATAAGGCTTATTAAAGGCAAAAACAGCTGTTCCGGTAAAACCTGCAAATCCTGCAAATCGTGAAGTACGGGAACCGGCTAATTATGTGCAAATGTAAACAACAAAAGAAAGTGCAGTGCTACATATGTAAAAAGTGTAGTAGGTCAGCCTTTGGCTGTTTTACAAAACGAGTCAGTTCAACAAGTTGTAAATTGGAATTTCATGGTTGTGCGCTTAAAAACTGATATGTTTTGGAAAACAGTCTTTCTTACGATTATGCGATACCTTTTTATGTGCATATATTTTCAAATTTAGGACTGGTGAATGCGGTCATTCTGGAAGCCATAGTGCACAGTTCAACAACAGTGATTGGGTTTGCTACTTCATAGCAGCAGAGGAAATGGAAACATTGCTCTGCTATTGCTACTTCTCTACTTGAATGGATAAGAAGCACGGCCAGAATCGGAAAACACACGAGGACCTTTCTTGTTTTACTTGGTTCTATGTTTCGTTGAGGCACAGATCAGGTAGGAGAACTAAAATATGAACGAAGTGATATTTGTCGTCAGAGTAATAGCACATACAACAATATTATGATAGCCTCAACGAAACATAGCACTAATTAAAACAAGAAAGGCCTTCTTGTGTTTCCCGATTCTGACACTGCTTCTCATCTATTCAAGTAGAGAAGTTGCAATAGCAGATCCACGTTTCCGTGCCACTGCTGCTATGAAGTAGTGAACTCAACCACTGGTAGTTGTCATAATTCGCAGTAGTAACAGTTTAACATGAAGGTAGAATTTTTATTTTTGGATTCCTGATACGAATAAGTTTATTTTAGTTCCGATTCTGCATAATCTTTTTTTTCCTTCTCTTGAAGCAATGGATTTGTCACCACTGTTCCTGGGAGATACCGAAGCGCTCTCTCCACCACGCACGAGCAACACAGGTATTTCGAAAATATACATACATATACATTTACAATATGTTTAATAGTTTTTTAATCAAACATTCCTGCGCTTTCAGATGTAGCCCTACATAGAAAGCGCTTTCATGTGGCACTGCCTTACGAGGAGCGCTTTGTCTCCCAGCCAACAGTAACCACCAACACGGGTGTAGCCACTACAACAACAACAAGCAACATAGGTCAACAATTTACCTTGTCTCACCAGCCAACAGTAACCACCAACACGGGTGTAGCCACTACAACAACAACAAGCAACATAGGTCAACAATTTACCTTGTCTCACCTGCTGGAGAGGCAAAAAGAAATGTGACTCACTGATCTGATTATTTAAATTAATATTTTATTATTTAATAAATTTTAATACTACATTATTTTGTCATTATGAAAGCGGTCATATTTATGTTTTTAAATATGTTATTGAAATAAATAAATGAATAATGAAAAAATTACTTTTTGTACAATTTACTTAAAAAATGTGTGGTTATAAACACGATAGCACTAACTACTTCAGTAGGTATCGTTAACTACATGGTAACCATAATATTAGCTACTTCAGCAGCTATCTTTAGCTACATGTTAACCACAACATTAGCCACTTCAGCAACCATCGTTAGTTACATGTTCACCACAACATTAGCCACTTCAGCAACTATCATTAACTACATGGTAACCATAACATTAGCTACTTCAGCAGCTATCATTAACTAAGTGTTCACCACAACATTAACCACTTCGGTCGCTATGAAAGGGGAATTAGAGTAGTGCAGCTATAGTTCGTTGAAATCGAACAGTTCTATTAGTGTAAGGGAGATAACGTATCACACGTATATGAAAAAGTGGTTAATATTTGCACACGGCTAGAACAAAGTTAGCCAGTTTATATACCGCTTCACAAATGAACGATAACTACCGGTTAACCACAATTCAAGGCAGAAATATCAGGTGGAGACCGCAAATTTCCATTGTTAAACCATATCTGTCTTGCCGAATTTCTTACCCAACTGTCATTTTGTAGTTTGACAACTCAGTTTTCATTTTACCGCTCCATTTACATTAGATAAAAATCCATCTGATTGGCCTGATGCCATTTTGAAGGTGATATGTTAAAACAGCAAGTCGCCCACACGACAAAACGGAACAAAGTTAAAACAGGAATTGGACAGATTTTAAGACACATTTAGTGGAAGTAACATGAAGTAACATGGACCTTACATGGTCGAATTTCTAGATCGAACTACATGTATGTGTGAGTGTAGATTTTGTATGTATGTGTCATATGTATGAGTTTCTGCCGTCCCTAAATTGGAGCGCTAAGGCCGTGGTTATGCCACCAATTTTAAGAGAAAAATTTCGGTGATTGGTGAGAAGTGGTTACGCTCTGTTTGCTGATTGGCGAGCACAGGGTTGCTTCTTAAGAAAATGCCTTTTTCCATTTCATACATTTTTGCACTTAATGGCAGCACTGAAGTAAAAGTGCAACTAAAAATGGCAGCACTGAAGTAAAAGTGCAACTAAAAACGCATCAAAATTTAAGTCGGAAAATGAAAAATGGAAGAACAACTTAATATTTTTTCTTTTTTTAATATTTAATTTTTATAATATTTTTTATATCTAGTTTATAATGATAATAAAAAAATATTTTTTACTATTCTAGTATTTAATACTAATACTTTTTCGGAAAATAGCGCATTTCCACCCTGCAAAATTGGCGTGCTGGCTATTCGGTTCACCCAGCAAATCGTGCTGGCTGTTCGATTTCGAAAATTCTCTGACTCCGTGTGTAGCGCATAGGGAAAACCGTTCTTACTGGGACATTCGAGTATCGAACGCTCCCACGCAACAATTGATATATACATAGAAACTAGAAAGAAATAACAAGTCGCTAAACAAAGGCACATCCATATGTATGCATATATACGCATGGAGATCATCAGCTCGTATAACTTACTCTGCCCGCTCATGATGGTTTAATCAGGCGAGTAATGACGTAGTCGCACGATCCGTTATACCTGGCGCTACACTCCACCGCCAGTCAACTTCGCTCAACGAAGGGCATCTACGCTTAAATTTATTTATGCAGCGAGAGCTCTTAGTCGCCTATGTCGAAACAATTTTCAGCTTTTCTTTTGTCCCTTGTTTGTTTATCACATCGCTTAACAATGCGCACCAACAACTTGCTTAGAACACCGCTAGTCGCAGATGAACGATGTTCAAGTTCAGCACGCTCAGTAAAGCTTACTTGGAGTCCAGTTTTTGCAATGAAAATCATTGTCTTAGCTGCGTCGGAAAAGAGCACTTGTATCCTAAGCAAAAGTGATTTACCAGTCAAAAATAAAAAGATCCTACTGTATGACCAGAGGATTAGTATAGTGTTGTACAAACATTTTTTTTTGTTCCTTGCCAAAGGTGTCGTGACACCCGATTTTCACGGAAATACAGGTAGGAGAAAAAAAAAAAAAAAAAATTATAAAATTTAAAACTAAAACAAAAAAAAAACAACAAAAAGGAATCATTTAGAATAAATCCCAAAAATAATTGGTTGCAGGAAAATTTTATATTCCGCGCTAGGAGCGGAAAACTGGAAGCGCTAGGAGCATTGAATGCAGCACATATTGAATATCATACGGAAAACACAGGAACTCCGTAGTCCGTAAAGCTGCCACGAGGTTGCGGCTCTAGCAACCATTATATAGCCGGCGAGCAGGCCCTAAAATTAACATGTACACTTTTGTCAGCAATATCCGCAAGTATATGGAACTAGTGTAGTGGAAACTAGGTTGAAAATGATTTTCTGATCCACGATGATCACATCATCCTCATAGTCGAGAAAAAAAAAAAAAAAAAAAAAAAAATTTTT